AGCTAGTTTTAGTGCATTAAGGGACACAAGTCAAAGTATAATGAGGATTTTGATTTCGTACGTCACTACAAAAAATTTGGTAAATTGTGGCGGTTTATTTATGGTGGTCATAAAAAATTTCCACTATACGTTTNCTGTTACTGGATTCCCGGGAAGTCGCATGTTAGTCTCTAGATCCTCCACTGGTCATAGAGATTTTCATGTCGCGCATTAGAGGGATTTACCCCCTTAGTGAACTTTATGACAACGCAAATTTATCGAATTAGTTATTTAGTCGAATAAGTGAGATTTGAATACTCGATAGATAAACAAAACGAAAGAAAAAATTACTCTTGACAATGGGGTGGTTTTGCCATGGTGCAAATTAAATGCAATTCACCGGATGTGTGACACTACAAAAAATTTGGTAAATTGTGCGGTTTATTTATGGTGGTCATAAAAAACTCCCACTATACGTTTGTTTTGTGGCGTTTGAGCCAACCCCCACAAAATAATTCTTATTGTGGCGGTTTAAGTGTGGGGGTCGTAAAAGACCCCCTCTATACATTCAATTTGTGGCGTTTGTTCCGACCTCCTCAAAAAATTTCTTATTATGGCGGTTTTTTTGTGAAGGTTTTTGATAACCTCCACAAATATATAAATTCCAGGTGTTTGAGAAATTATTATTATTAAAAAAAAATTAGTTATTTTTTCCACCTTATTTCTTTAAAATTAAATCAAAATACATATTTTAGTTAAAACTTTGCGAATTAATGCAATTTACGTCAATATCTATACCTTCTAGTTTGTAATTTTTATCTCTACATTTTCTTCAACTACAAAAAGAAAGGTTTTCCATTATTTCTCTATGTCTTACTCGCTAGTTTTTCTTTGATTGTCTTTGTGAATTTCTTTAATTCATCTCTCTATATTTAGCAAAAAATAACAATGACTTCTATTTCATTTCTTCCTCTTAGGTTTCTTATTTCTAGATTTATACGAAATGTCTACCCATAAATACGAAACATATATAATTGCTAACCTCGTGAGTATCGTGAATCTTTAGGTGCAAAAAAAAAGAAATTTATCTAACATTGGACCACAATATTAGGTAACAAAATAATAATGCAAAATGAGCCATCACAAAAGTTGAAATGTGGCTCAACAAAAGCAAGAAATGACCGTTGATTCAATCTGGTCTCACCGTCACAAGCGATACTTGTCTCCAAAGAAAAAGACAATAATACAGAGAATTGAATGCATCAGGTATTCAGTGAATCTCACTGAACAAATATGGTCGACGAGGTCTATTATAAACGAAAAAATATGCTTTAGATTAATCATAAATAATATCTGCATTCATAAGTAACGACTATACATCCAATAAACAACAGATGCGGGAGAGACATCCAAGTGTTGTAATTATCTACACAAACATTTGATTTTTTTTATTTTGTTTGAGATAATTTAAAATTTAAAGGGATATAAATAATTGCAAGAATTAGCATGCAGATTTTCTTTATTTTTATTATAGTAGGTGTTCTATGTTCAAATAGTATTTTTAAAGGAGGGTGTGAGGCAAGCTATTTTACTACGGGACGAGGCGTAAGCCCAATACCTTTAAATTGTTTAATTTATTAATGACGCATAATAAACCAAAAAAAGTATATTAGAGTTTAAGAAATTAAAAAAAAATAAACTCATAAAAAATAAAATATCTTGTATGTTTTTACAAGTATAAATAATACAATAGTGTTAAAGTTACTGTGAGATACAACTATAACGTCTTAACTGTCAAGCAATTAAAAAATTATAATTTCTTTAAAAATGTATCAAGTTATACATTTTACCTCCCTAAAAGTAATTAATCAAGAAAATTCATAAATACTATAATTTAAAAGATTACTCGTTCATGTATATACAAAATTACTTTCAAAGAGCAAAACAATAAAAGCCTGATAATTTAAGACATGAAGACCAATGGCAATAAGATACAATTTTTACTATCTAATTTGGAAAAAATAGTCTAATGATTTTCACACTCACGATATTCTCAAATAGTAAATATGCAATTACGTGGCTCGCTATTTGAGTTATTCTCAAATAAAAGTTTAATCATAACTTTGTTAAAGAATTCATGAGCATCAATGGTGTCAATTAGAGAATTTGACACACGATTTAAGTAGGAACTACAGTCAAACCTCTCTATAACAACCTCGTTTATTCCGATATGTTTTGGCTGCTATAGTGAGGTGTTGTTATAAACACATATATTATAACATAACATAAAAATCAATTCCGAAAAAACTTGACTTTTTATAGTAAATGGTTGTTATATAGAGATGATGTTATAGAGAAGTCTGATGCGTTATGCGTGTTTTGGTTGCACACTCGGATGCTTTAGAGCGTAAGCTCACATAACTAAGCTCCACACATATTCATCGGGACTTTTTGAATTGTCACGACCCATTTCCATAATAGGTCATGATGACGCCCAACACCATTGTCAGGCAAGCCAACGCGGAAGTATTAGTGAATTCTTATTTTACTTACCCAAAATAATTACAACATTGTTCTTAATTTGCAAGTAAAAGCAGATGATAATATGCAACATTCAATAATAATTATACAATCCAAAAGAAACGTCTACTAATGTGTGTGTCACAAGCTGTGGGAAACTAGTAGAATATACAAAATAATATATCTATCCTACTGTCTGAAACATAATAGACAGTCTAAAGTAAGGAAGACTTCATCCAGCTGCTGATTGGCACAAGAAGAGAAAGCATCTCATTGTGGAAGTCTCGGACTATGATCAAGGATGCGCACCAGTCTGATACCAGATGAACCTGCCTCAGAGCATGTACAATTAAGTACAGAAGCATAGCATGAGTACATAAATATTATGTACCCAGTAAGTATCCCGTCTAATCTCGAAGAAGTAGAGACGAGAGGTCAACTTGATACGTACTAGGGCCAAATAATATAATATGATATTATGTCAGGTATGGTGGTCACTATATATAATAGTTAAAATAAGTATTTCTAAGTCATGTCATTTTAATACCCCCAGTTAATCCTTTACAATTTAAACCATGTATCAGGCAGGTCATCAATAATAAATTCACATAGATATATATCATGCGCACCTTATGCCGAGGTCGATGGCCCGATCCAACATAAAAGAAACTGTGCACTGCCAGAGGGTCGAATGGCGTGAATCATAGATGCATCTATTTCTACCAAGGCGATCGGCCCAACAGAAAAAATATCAATTATCAACAGAAAAATACAAGAAGGCACATTTATATTCAAATAAACTCATACAAGTGTTCAACACAAGAAGGCGCATTTACAGACATGACTTAAATATTATATTAAACATGTACCGGGCTCCGGAACCAAAATACGGGTCCGATACCAATGAGATCAAACATTAATCAATTTCTTGGGACCTCGGATTTCGATTCCGGGCATACGTCCAGGTCCCATATTTTACTACGGACCTACCGGAATCGTCAAAATACGGGTCCTAGTCCGTTTACCCAAAACCTTCACCGAAGTCAACAAAGATCAACTTTTTAGGCCAAAAATCATTATTTCATCAATTTTTCCACATAAAGGCTTTCCGGAAATACGTCCGAATTGCGCACGCAAAGCGAGAAGAGATAAAATAAGGGTTTTAAGGCCTCAAACACGGAATCAGGTTCTAAATGAGATATTGATTGTCAAGTTCCCTAATAAAAGTAAAATGTATTTAGTTTTGACTTCGTTAAAGATGATACCAACAACTATTACTAGGACGATTACTTAAATACTTAGCAATACATAACCCTTCACTATAGAAGTCCCTTGTCATAAGATAATAACTTAACAATCGAATGGGTAAAGTGACACCTTTCAGACGTAAAAACATGAAAAAACGTACTTTATATGAAATTATAGGAAGAAATTTCTTCTCAATTTATCCTTTAATAGTAGCAAGGGATATACATGTGAATCACGTACATAGAGACTAGTTATTATAAAAGCATGAATGTTCTACGCTAAAATATTGGACAACACAAATATCCCTGAAATATTGATAGATTTTTATACCCTTGAAAATTACATTATTTCTTAAAAAGAGATTATTCCAAATTAAATAAAATGATAATATTTAAATTTTACCGTGGATACTTACAAGGAATCAAATTCTTCAATTAAAGATAAATTCAAATCGGATTTGTATCATGCTATGATTAGAAGTCGATTTAGTGTCATATACTAGCTAGTATATTTGAAGTCAAACTCACGCTCCTTGAGATTAAGTGATCTTCACCATTATTTGATGGGAAAAATCTGTAGCTCAAAACGTGGTACTGCAGCAAATTTAGAATTCTCTTGTAATTGTAATAATGCAAATTAAACCGAGGAAAACTAAAGAAACCACTTTACTATTTTCCTTTTTAATTTCCCTCATTTTTTAACTCAACTACTCATATAACTTCTCTTTATTCCCGCCATTGTTTCCCTCCATATTCCCACCTTCTCCTCGACCCCTCTTCTCCCATTATCTGCGTAAGAAACTTCCATTTTCAGAGCTATATATTAACCATATAGTTCCTCTTGGAGAGATGAAATTCCTGGTGAGCATTAGGTCAGTTCTCTCTTTTCTTTTTGTATTTTAATTCTTTTAAGTTTGTTCATTTTAGTTTCATCAATATGATTGTTGGACACGCATTTGTGCTTTATATTTAGGATGCAGATATGTAGTTTATTTCACTGCTTAGGTTTACCAAAATCATGACATTATGTAGTTCGTTGATTTTCTGTGTTCCTCTTTGCCAATAATTTGGGTTTGACTGTTTGTAAAATATATATTATTTTGTTTTGTTTTGGAGTTAAAAAAGCAGTTCTTTTGGGGCTCTAGATTGGATTTGTTGGGTAGTTTGTGGACAATTTTTTGTATCATCTTTTGTCTGATGTTTACTCTCTCTTCATATTTGATTCACCTCTCTCTTTTTCTTATTAATATGCAGTGATGCCAAAGATTAAACGTTTTCGGAATCCACTAAAATCAGCTCGTGAACCACATGATGCTCATGGACATTCTTCATCATTAGCAACTTCAGTCCAATCACATGCTATAGAGCCCGCAACAATAGTACAAGCCCTCCCACATGTTCATGAAGTCCCGCAGCAAGAACAAGCTCCAATTCTGCCTTCTAATTCAAGTGCAGCATCTCGCCGTGCAGGACGTGAATCTACAAAGTATTGGACAGTAGAGGCTAAAGGTATATGCCTTACATGTATTTGTACTTCAATTTATGAGAATCTTATTTTTTTTTGTTCCTTTTTGGTTGAGTAACTTGTTTTCTTGTTAAAGACTCGGAAAATGCTATCAAGCAAATTAGAGTCAAGGTCAATGAAGTTAACAACCTGACTGTTGGGGAGCGCATCATTATGAATTTTGATGACTACAACGCAGCATATGGTGAAGCGCAAGGATTACTTGCTGGATATTGTGGATCGCTGGCAATTGATTGTAATTTGTTTCCAATTAGTTTTGAGAAGTGGTCAGGGCCATCGGGCATACCTAAGAAGTACATGGAAGACTGCTTTGAAACAATATTGAAGGTACAAGTGTTATACAAACATATGTACTTATTGCACCTAGATTTTTATACACATGAAAAAACTAACTTCCATTTTTTGTTTGAAGCCTCGATTTGATTTTCGGGTAAGTGAGTCCATTGCATATAGATACTGCAATGCTAGTCTTTCAAAGAAGTGGGCTACACATAGGCAGAAGTTGTGGAATGAATATTTTGATCCAGCCAAAAGAAAAAATGAAATTCTAAGTAATGTACCAGCAGGTATAAATAAAGATTAATGGGCTAGTTTTGTTGCTTACCGTCAAAAATCATCAACAATGGTAAGATTCAAATTATTTTAACAAGTTTCATCATAATTAAATGAAGATGAATTTTTTTAATTTGTATTTGTTTTGTTGATAGGAGCTTTGTAGAAGAAATAAAGAAAATCAAAAGAAGCAAAAAATGCCGCATACTTGTGAATCAAAAGCTATCTCGAGAAGACGACATGAGCTGGTATGCACATTAACTTAATAATTTTACTATTTCTCTAATTAAAATGTTTTGTAATAACTTTTTAATACTCTTTCTTAGTTTTTGGAAACTGGAAAAACTCCTAATCGCGGAAAAATATTTATTGAAACTCATAAAAGAAGCAATGGATCGTTTGTAAATGATGCGGCAAGGACTATAGGGGTAAGCATAGCTTTGGTGTATTTTTATAACATTATTTCNTTTGGTGCATTTTTATAACATTATTTTTATTATTTTTGTATAACATTTTGCATCTCAAGTTTCACTATCTTGTACTACTAATTGATATTTTATCTGCTTGTAGGAACAAATTGAATTGAATATGACTCAATGCGATACTAATGAGTGTGAAGTTTCACCAAATGATGTTATTGGCACGATGTTAGGGGCAGAGCACTCCAGGAGAGTACGATGTATGGGTATGGGAGCTGCTCCTTCAAACACATTCAGGAATAGCAAAGGACGACTTAGTGATCCGAGTGCTTCTTCATCTAGCTACAGTGCATCATCTGCAACATATAACCATTTTCAACAAAAGCTTATGCGCGTGGAATCCCAACTAGAAGACACCTTAAATGTGCTGAAGGTTTACGTGATGTCAAAGGAAGGTTCGGTTCCAGAAGAATTTGCGGGTCTGTTTGCTCTTCAACCACAGGTAAGGAGTAAATATAGCTTGTATTTCTTCTGTTACAACTTCTAATCAGTTCAATATATAGCATTGTACTTCTATGTGATAAAAAACATGAAATCAACAAAAATTGTTAAACATAGTTCATTAGATCAAGCTCTTTTGTGGAAGAGATTCACTATGTCTAAATATTGCTCTCACAATGAACATACTATTGATTCTTTAGTATTTTTAGATGTCCCAGTTGTTGATGTTATCTCATCCACCATTTGTTGCACATTCTCGTCATCCTTCTTCGCAACACTAATATGATCCTCAACCAATACATCAAATGAGTTTGAAATAATGGTGTTCATTGATGCTGTAGTCTGGTTTTTAGAACCTTGAGAATTTCTATTGTTAGGTGAGTGATTTACAACTGTCCAAGCCCTATGTTCTGCTTGTGCAGATGCACGTTGCCATTGGTGATTAGGTTGTTCAACTACTGCTAATGCTTCTGACCCATTTGCACTCCCCAAAGCAGCAAAATCTTTATTTTCTTGACCCTCATCTTGCACAACATTATATGTTAAATCTGTTTGTTTTTCAGCTAGAACACCATGTACACCAGTAGTGTTGACAGCTACATAAGTACGTCGAATACCAGATGCACTCAATACATTAGTAACCGCCAATGTTAAACCTGCAGTTCTTGGTTGATTTTCAGCTTTTTCAAATTGGCCTAACAACAGAAATATAAGTGTGTTCCTAATTTAATTGAGAAGCATGTCTTATATCCAAAGTTTTTCATTTTTCTTTAATAAGTAGATACTTTTTGTCTTTTTGACCAGATTCATTGACCAATATCATCTAAAGTTAGTACAATATACAGTTTAGTATCATCTAATTCTAGTAAAACTTGTTGCTAACTTTGCTAAAGATGGAGGTGGTGGCAAGGAATTTCCATCTCCTTGCAGAAGCTAAGGCTTTGATTCGAAGCTTTAGGATAAGGGCTACATTTGATTCAATCTTGTTTCCCGATCTCGTTTGGAATTAATCTATATAACTTTCTCACCAAATATCATTTTTATTGTTTCAGCCTAATGATGCAGAGAATGAACTTACTTCACCAGTTGATGTAAGAGGATCATCGGCAGATAACAACGCAAATCACTAATCAAATGCTTAATGCTTTCGTTGTGGACTACGTTTGCTTTCTAGGAATTTAAATTTATAGTGGTTGTCTAGACTTGTGTTTATATTGCTTTAGTTAGTGCTTAATGTTTTCGTTGTGGACTACTTTTGCTTTCTAGGAATTTAAATTTGTAATGGTTGTCTAGACTTGTGTTCATTTTACTTCAGCTAATGCTTAATGTTTTTGTTGCTATCTAGACTTGTGTTTATATTGCTTAGTTTATTGTACAGTATTTCAATTTCTGACTTTTACTATTATGGATACTAGGTAGAGTGAAGGGATCGAACCCCCTTCATCGAAAAATTACCCAATATAAAAGAATGAAAATGGTCTTCTTTTTGTTATATGTGCACTGTTATGAAAAAAAATCAAATGTAGTTGTGAAGGAGGTTCAAAATTACTATAGGCCTTAGGTTCAAATTCCAACTATGACGTTGTAGCTTTTTTTGTATCCAGTTGTATAAATTTTTGGTTCTGCTATTGTTTACAAGCTTGAACTATAGTGAAATTCTACTAATGAAATGGTTATGGAGATATTCAAAGAAGAACAGTAGCATTGGATAAAGCTGGTACAAGTGAAGTATAGGGAGCTGGCATTTTGGTGCACAATCAGTAAGTTCCATGTATGGTGTAGGATCTGTAAGTGCATTAGGAATCACTGGCTTGATTTCTCAGAAACAGTACAAATAAAAAGTGGTAAATTGGGAAAAGATTAAAATTTGGCTTGACTTTGTTTGCGCACATCCCTCTAAGAAGCAGAATCCTGAGATCTTTGCTCTTACTGCAAGTCACTATTCTACAATGTAAATCTGGTTACAATTGGAGTTTAATCCTCAAACAAAGTTGTTCTGATTGAGATATCAACAATGTTGCAAAACTGTTGAAAGGAGTTTATTACTTGGGAGCCTGTTGGGAAAGGAGGCTTTTTTCCGGTAGGTCATGCTATAAGAAATTGTCAGTGGGAAATTTAGTGTTTAAGAAGTGGCCATTGAAGTTTATACATTGCCCAAAAGCTCCACACAATGTGTTTGACTTTTCTGGATTATAGATCTGCTACTGCAACCTCAATTTTATTCTCTTGAGGTCAATAAGTCCTAAATATGAAGCATTTCTTATTCCTTTTCTTGTGTAGATCTTGATGGTCCTTGCTCAATAGTACTTGAAATTTCAAAGTTATATGTACACATATTTGCAAAGAACTATGGTCTTTTGTGTTAGGTTATACCAGAGTTGGATACTGATTCTTTTACCTCTTGTGCGTACTCTATTTTTGGAAGAATGGACTTTTGGTTTCACATACCATCTTTTTATGATTCCTGAGTTGTATCCTTGAGTAACATTGAGTTTTAATGTGTTGATTGATGAGAATGTATAAAAACAAAGTAGTTTTCCTGGAAGTTGACCATTTTTACTCAAATGCATATCTAATTTAGGATTTCCAGACTCTGAAATGTTTGTCCCTTTAGTGTCACATTGAATTGGCAAAGGGATATTCAGTTATATATAAAACTTTCTGCAGGGTCCTCCTGGTACCGGAAAAACACTAGTATATTGGCTCTTGCTCATGAGCTTTTAGGACCAAACTATAAAGAGGCCGTTTTGGAGCTAAATGCATCAGATGATAGGTATATTGAGCGTTTGATTCAAAGTATATGTGCCCTGGTCCGATTTGCAAGATTATTTGACCAAGAGATCCTTGGACGCCTTATGGCTGTGGTTGCAGCAGAAAAGGTACTAGCAATATTAATCCTCGACACACATGCTATTTTCTTCTAGTGTTCCCCTTGCTAATCTGAAATGGTTTCTTTTGATCCTTGTGTTAAATCAACATTTTTGTTTGTACAGTGAGTCAAGTAGCATGTTATTATACCTTAATCTATTGCTGCAATGAACCTCCCAGTTGCTCTGTATATTTCATGCCTTTCTTTGTTAGTTAATTTGGTTATGAGCTAACCAAGATTATGAGCTAAATGGTAGGAACTTTAATTTTCTGTATCTTTCAGCCTCACAGGGCGTTGTGAAAGTTTCATCTAATCACTTCAATATGCAGTCCATTTTGTTTTTACCTAATGTTATATGAGCTTTCAATCTGCTCTCACTGTTGTTTTCTCCCTGTTGTGTCACATAAGAAATTATCACTAATGCTTTTGTGTTCAAACCGTGTACCTAACATGCGTGTGTTAACTGAACTTTCTAGGTTAACTGCGGTGTTAAATCTCCAGTAGATATATCCATGGATATTACCAGATTGATTCAGACACTCAATATGTCAACAACTGCATTTAGGGATGCTGTTAAATTGACACTTGAAGCTGAACTTGCTTCAACATCATACCAGAAGATGGTTCATTGGATCTTATATTCAAAGTCCTTAAGCAACCAATAATGGCAGCATATTGGTGTGACATACCTCAAAAATTCTGTTATAAAATAATTTGATCTTAAAGGAAAAGATACAGTTTTAGTTTATCTATGAAGTACATTCCAACAATATTTATATGCACTTAATTTTCCATTCAGGTGTGATTGCAATGTCCTGGTGCCCCCTTGATAGCTCCTACTTGCTTACATATTGTTAAATATTTAGATAGTATTCAAATTCAAATTTAAAAATCTTATCAATTAAAGTTACTATGAGACAAAATTCAACTTTAACATTTTATCTTTCAAACGATTAAAAGAACATAATATTTTTTAAAAATATTATCAAATTGCACGGTTTACCTCTCTAAAAATTAATAATCAATAAACTCCATCAATAATGTAATTCGAAATATTACTCCTCATGAGTAAATATAAAATTGCTTTCAAATAGCAAAATAATAAAAGTTTGATAATTTTGAGAGACATATAACTAAAATATGAAAAAAATGTTAGATGTTCCTAAGAGATGTAAATTTTGGCTATTCCAATGATACTCATTTTTTGATGTTCCCAATTAGTAAATATGTGATACTTTGACTCATTATTTTGAGTTATTCTCAATCTTCATATAGATGAATAAAACTTTAATCATTCATTTGTTAGAGATATTTGACAAGATTCTTCCTATGATCTTGCTAAATATATCAATAGTAATTATTTCAAGAGCTTATATTTTTTTAAAATTTTTAGGTTATAATTTAAATCTATTATTTAATTTTAATTTTATAATTAATTATATAGACTCCTAAAATTAGTAAGAATTAAAATAAATGAATAGAGCACGAGCTATTTAGTGCCCCAAAGTTATTCTTTCTTAACCCTAAATATTATTTTTCCATTTCTAAAAGTTTACATGAAAGAAAAAACCTACGGTTTATTTTAAGCAAGGAAAGCAGCAGGGAAATATCGAAATTCTTAGGTTTTCTTCGTTAGTAGTTCTGACCCTCTTTTTTCTACTGCTTGTTATCCTTTGCTATATGAACAAACTGATACATAAGGAGTCCTTTGTGGGAATTCTTCATTGGTTCTTTCTGTTCTTTGTCAGTTTCTGGAATTAACTTTGTTTGAAAGAGCATTTGAAGTTGTTGGAGTAGATTGGAAGGATAGTCAAATCTGAAGGTACCCGTGGACTGGAGGATTGCTTTTGGAGGTATATTCTAAAAGGGTTCATGTTAATTTATTTATCATTTTTTAATGGATAAATCATGGATTGGAAAGCCACGGAACACAAGCGAATACTGGCTTGGTTTGGATAAATTTCTTGATTTTGCGTTTAAGAATGCGGCTGTGGAAGATACAATTAGATGCCCATGTCCTAAATGTGGCTTTGGCAAGTGGCACACTAGAGAGATAGTGCAAGATCATTTGATTTGCAAGCCATTCCCTCAAAATTATGTTATTTGGAATCTTCACGGTGAGAAACAGGTAGTAGCGCCTTCTGGAGATAGAGACGTTATGCAAGAGATGTTTCACCCAGAAAATCCAATAGAAACAATGCTTAATGATGCATTTGGGTACGATAGGCACCAAACGGCTGATGGAGGGATATCTCAACCATTTGACTCAAATGAAATATCAAATGAGGCGCATAGGGAGGATACTGGCAACTTTCATGATTTTCTCAAAGATGGAAGTGAGACACTGCATGAAGGGAGCAAGTATACAAAGCTAGAGTTTTTAATAAAATTGTATCATATAAAGGTCTATTGTGGATTAAGTGACAAGGCTATGACTATGATACTAGATTTGTTGAGAGATGCATTTGAAGATGCAAAGTTACCGCCTTCCTTTTATGAGGCCAAAAAAACCATTAGCAAACTTGGCCTTGACTATATCAAGATACCTGCATGTCCAAATAATTGTATGCTATACTGGGAAGGTGATTCAGAATTAGAAGCATGTAAGCATTGTGGTACATCTAAATGGAATCCTAACAAGAAAAAAAAGCAAGCTGCAAAGGTTTTGCGTTATTTTCCACTGAAACCAAGGTTGCAACGATTATTTATGTGTGGTAAGACTGCAGAACATATGAGATGGCATGCTTCAGGCAATAATGCTGATGGGTTGATGAGGCATCCAAGGGATGGTGAAGCATGGAAGACATTTGATCAGACTCATTCTGGATTTGCTTCGGATCCTCGAAACGTTCGCTTGGGCCTTGCTAGTGATGGTTTCAATCCTTTTGGAACAATGAGTACTACCTATAGTATTTGGCCAGTCTTCTTGATTCCATATAATCTTCCTCCCTGGATGTGTATGAAGCACACCTCTTTCATCTTATCAATGATTATTCCAGGCAAGCACATGCCTGGAAATAATATAGACGTGTACTTACAACCCCTCGTTAAGGAATTATGTGAGTTATGGAATGATGGAGTTGAAACGTTTGACTCATCATTGAATGAAAATTTTAGAATGCATGCAGCTCTTATGTGGACAATCAGTGACTTTCCGGGATTAGGTATCCTATCTGGCTGGAACACTCATACTAGTTTTGCCTGCCCAACTTGTAACTTTGACACAGAACCTTATCGTCTTCGTCATAGTAAAAAGTGGTGCTTTATGGGTCATCGACGTTTTCTGAGAAGAAATCA